TCCCGTCGTCGGTAAATCTTTTTGTTAAGAGAAATACTAAAAATTTTTTCCCGAAAACTTCGAGCTATATTTGTAACGCTAATGTTAGATAACAAGCCAATTTCCAAAGGGTTGGTATTTACTAGTGGTATAACTAAGTGACAAACTTCTTCAATTTGTAATCCCGTGTAGTCCAATGGTTAGGATACCTGGCTTTCACCCAGGAGGTCCGGGTTCGATTCCCGACATGGGAGCTAACTTTTCTTGCGCCTTTAAAAATTAGCTTTTCGCCACCTGAATATCTGGCAAGGAAGATTATAACGGGAATGTTGAAGTGTCGCTTGTCTAAATCGTAATTGATTACCATCACCAAACTAAAAAAAAAATCAATTTTGGTGACACAAGGCACGTTGAACAACCTTCATAGAAGGCCTTGGTGTCCCTTGCTGCTTTCTTCATAACACCTTTCCGTAACATCTTTCCTCCTCTACATAACAAATGACGAACAGACACAACAGTATTGACCGAAGGACTTTTCGAAAAACATCTTTCATCATGACACTTCTTCTATTGGTCGTGTTGTTGGTTCAGGTCATCTTTTCCACAACGACCCATCCACACCATCGCTCACCAACCCATTCTGCCTCCTCCTCAACGACGCTGAATACTCGAATTCTTTCCCAAAGACGACACAATTCCAATCATCATAATATCCATCTTGTTCATCCAATTAATGATGAGGAAGATGATGATTTTATGGATCTACTCTCTGATTTCTCTAATTATAAGGATGCATATTCCAAGATTGAAAAAGTACTTTCTATTCACAACAAGCATTACAGCAATGATCAATTGACTTTATTGAATCGTCAAAGGAGTAGTACTAGTACTGGTAGTAATAGTGGTGGTGGTGGTGGTCAAAGTGCAACAAATCATTATAACACTCCTCCTCAACAACAACAAACCTCTGAACCACCTCTCTTCACCACTTTGGAAGAAGAATCCGATCATGATGCTACTACTACGATTACAACTTCTTTTGAAATTCCACAACAATTTATTCTCAAATTCAAAGAATCTGTGAAATTGACTGAAAAGTTGAAACAAGAATTTGAAAAGAGTACTTCCATTCAATTACTTCAATACATTCCAGATCATAGTTATTTAATCCATGTCACACCTTCTCAATTGAATTCATTATTGATACCCTCTCAACAACAATCAAAACCACAACAAATACTCTCAAAGAGTTCACCCATTATGGTTTCTCCAAATCATCAAAATGTTCAACAATTAGATGTCTCTAATATCATTTCAAAGATCATTCCACTCTCTCCATCATTGAAAATTAATCCAACTTTGAAACATGAAATGGAAAATGAAAGAATCATTACCACACGATGTAGTTCTTCTGGTAGGACTACTCCTTCTTCTTCTTATGGTAATGCTGGTAGTGGTGGCAGTAGTAGTACTGTTTCTGGTGGCACATTGATTCACATTGCCTCTTCTCTTGTACCAAATCCATTCTTGACCTCTCAAGACATTCGTGACATTGCTCAACAAATTCGACAAGTCTGTGAAAGACAATATCACATGAATGTTCGATTTGTGAGATTAATATCCAATCGTAAAATCATGTTGAGTGTACAATTGTGTTCTCGTTCTGAATTGAATACTTTGATTGATGTCTTGTCTCATCATCCAGCTGTGAATTGGATTGAAAGATTTGATATGGAACGTGATGGATTCATGCCAGAGAATTATCATGCTCGTTTATTAATTCAAGGTGGTAAGAAATGGATGAAGAGAGGTGGTAGTAGTAGTCCAAGTGATCTAGTTACAATGACTCGTCCGATTGGTGATACTTCTCCTACTGCTCATCGTCCATCATCATCTTCATCATCATTACTTGGTCCATTCGAAGCTGTGGGATTGACTGGAAAGAATCAAACGGTGGCCATCTCGGATTCAGGTCTCGATTTTGATCATTGTTTCTTTTATGATCCTCAGGTTCAAGTGCCAATCCTTCACTCGAGTCAGACCATCATCATCGGCACGACTAATAAGCAACAAGAACAAGATTCTTCTCTGACAGCTACTACTACGACTACGACTGGCAACCACCCTAACCGCCACAACCACGACTTGGATGTTCTGATTCAAAAATTACAATCTACGACCGTTACAACGACAACAACCACTTCTCAACAAAAAGAACACCGCAAAATCAAAGCCTATGTTGCCTTTATGGATTCTAAAGATGGTGGTCATGGCCATGGCTCTCATACTTCAGGAATTCTCACTGGACAATGTCTCTATCCAAAGAGTACCATTTGTAGACACAATGGACTTGCACAAGATGCTAAACTTGTCTTTTTTGATGTTGGTTGTGATTTAGATGGTGGATGTTCGTGTGATTCTTTCGATGCATGTCCATGTTACATGTATCCAGATTCTAAATGTCCAGGTGGAAACAAATTGGTGACTCCCATTGATTTGTACAGTGGTCTGTTTGAACCTCAATATGCATTGGGTGCTCGAATTTCTTCCAATTCTTTAGGTGGTGCCATTGTATATGGTTACACACAAATTACAGCAGAAATTGATAAATTCCAATACGATCATGATGATTTTCTAGTGGTATGGAGTGCAGGTAATTCAGGACATAAAGGATACATGACCTTAACGGGACCAACCAAACAAGCTAAGAATTCTCTCATTGTTGGAGCTTCTACCAACTCGATCGAGTCATGGAAAGAGGCATTGCAGTTAAGAAATTACACAGAGAGAGCACTCTTTTGAGAAAGAAATTCTCTAAAAGTATTCTTGTACGTGCAAGAATTCCTCAAAGAATGGTAAGAGTCATAGTAGTGGTAGTAGTAATGATATTTCATCGTCATCATCATTGTTTGATGCCTTTTCATGGTGTCACTTTGATAAATGTCGAGAGATTGAGAAATTAACTTCAGAAGAGGCCTGTGATGCCTTCATGGGTGAAACATGTCAATTTCCATCCAAATACAAAATTTCACTCATGAAAAGAAAGCCAATTTCAATGTTGCCTTTGCATGCAGCAAGAAGTGTGCTCTCAAGAATTTACATGAAATGCAATCACTCTTTGATTCGGAGAACTTGGCAGATTTCTCATCTTTGGGACCAAGTGTGGATTCACGTATCAAACCTGATCTCGTAGCACCAGGTTATTTTGTCATTTCGGCTCACTCTCATTTTGGAAATTCAAAATGTTCTATTGAGAATACCAATGATGTGAAATTTCAATTGAAAGAAATGGCAGGAACTTCCATGTCCACACCACTCGTGGCAGCTGCTGCTACCATTGTGAGACAATACTTCACGGATGGTTTCTATCCGAGTGGTAAGAGACCATCCAATCCTCAGGAATTTGCCAAAGCAGAATATACCAATCCAAGTGCAGCATTGGTGAAGGCCATTCTCATTTCGAGTGCACGTGGAATGAAAGGACTTGCTCGTGGCAATGATTATTTTGATCATTTCAATCCAAAACATCGAACCATCTTTGAAGGATATGGATTGATTAATTTATCGAATACTTTGAAATTGGTCAGTAGTAGTAGTGGTGATGGTGATCTTAGTAGTACGAATACTAATCCTACTCGTGAGAATGTAAAGACGACGACTCCATCTCGAATGGTGGATTTATTTGTGGTGGATCGACAGGAAATTACGACCGATCTTGTTCATTCCTATAATTTCATTGTGGCTGACAATTCCTCTGAATTGTGTATTACTCTTGTGTGGACAGATTATCCTGCATCACCAATGGCATCTCTCGCATTGGTCAATGATTTGGATTTAAAGTTAGAATATGAACTTGAGAATGGTGATATTCAAACCTTTTATGGTAATCATTTTGTGAATAATAACCAACCTGATCGAGTGAATAATGTTGAGAAAATTTTAATTCCATCTCCACCACTTCGAACAGCATTGACTGTGAGTGTGAAAGGTCATAATGTACCACATGGTCCACAACGTTACAGTTTGGTGATCAATGGAAAGAAAATTTCAAAAGCTTCTGTGATTAAGCGTTCATTGGATGTGACTGACGTTTCTCCTTCGAATACGATCATTTTCTTTAATTGGCAATTTGCATTAATTATCACAAGTTTGGGAACTGCATTGTTGGTATCATTGGCAGTGAATATTGGATTGTGTTTGTATGCTCGTATTCAAAAGAGAGATTTCAATAAGCAATTTATGAATATGGAGAAGATGAAAACAGTGTATTAAAATACTTGTGTTTTCTTTTACCTCGATATGCCGTTGCAAATGTTCACCTGAAGATCTTTCTCTGAGTTAGAGAACATCGTAAACAAGGGCTATTTTAAGATGAATTTTT